ACATCCCGTTGGGAGTCCAAATGCGTCCGATCATTATTGAACAAAGGTATGCGCCGGCCTACGACTTGATCGCTTCAATAGATGAAGTACAAGATCAGAACCCCTTGTATCATGATATCAGGAACTTTTTGGAAAAGGAAGCTTATCTGCTAGGGGCAAATGCCAAAGATAAAAGGGAAATACGGCGAATGGCTGCTCAGTTTATCATCTACGGGGTATAAGTTGTATAAAAGGGGTCATCTAGGAATGTACAAGCTATGTGTCGATGCAGAAGAATTGAAGCGTCTAATGTAGGCCATCCATGGGGGAGAGTGTGGGGCGCATATGAGCAGAGTAATGCTAGCCCAAAAGATTCTCAGGCAAGGTTAGTACTGGTCAACCATGGAGAAGGATTGTTTGTTTTGTTCGGCGATGACATAAATGCCAAATTCATGCCAATCGCATGAATGTCCCACCATCGACATGACTTCACCGTGCCCTTGTTCAATCTGGGGAATTGATGCTATTCGGGTAGTTACGCCAAAAGGCTCGAATGGGCACGGGTACATTCTGTTGGCAATTGACTATTTTACAAACTGGGTCGAATCCCAATCCTATGCAATGTTGAAAGCATCGCATGGAGCCAAGTTCATTAGGAATAACATCATTTGTCATTATGGGGTCCCAAATGAGATCATTTCAAACAATGGCTCCCATTTCAAGAGAGAAGTGATCGACTTATTGGAGAAATACAACGTGGCTTTTTATAAGTCATCCACATATCGGCTGCAAACCAACGGAGCTGTTGAGGTCGCGAACAAGAACATCAAGCACGTTTTGCAGAAAATGGTTGAGACTTACAGGGACTGGCCAGAAAAATTGCCATTCGTTCTCTGGGGCTACAGGACTTCAATTCGGACATCTATTGGGGACACTTCGTATTCTCTGGTTTATAGGATAGAAGTTGTTCTACCAATTGAGATAGAGGTTCCGTCGCTGCGGGTTTTGGCTGAGTGCAAGATAGCAGAAGCAGATTGGTAGCAGAGCAGGTTCGGGGAATTGATGTTGTTCGACGAGAGGAGGCTGGAAGCTTTGTACTATATCTAAGGATATCAACACAGAATCGCTTGGGCTTTCAATAAGAAAGTTAAGTCCAGGAATTTGAAGAAAGGGATTTGGTGCAAAAAGGCAACCAAGCTCCCATCCATGACTCTAGGGGCAGGCTTAGACCTAATTGGACTGGTCCTTACATTATCAAGACCATTTGGTCGGGTGGAGCTGTGATTCTTATGGACCTAGATGGCCTCGAATTCTCCTAACCAATCAACATAGACAAGTTGAAGAAATACTATCCTTGAGAGGCTCGCTAGACCGAAAACTCGAAAGGGCAACCTAGGCAAAAGTTAGAGCACAAAAAAATTTGAAATAAGAAAAACTGAGCTCGCAAGGTTGAAAACCCAGAAATGGTAACCTTGGCAAAAGTTAGAGCGTAAAAGGAGAATGTTAATACACGAGTGAACCCGAACTGAACTACATAAGGCTTGATTCCCATTTTCGGGATACGTATGCCACTTCATTCTGAAGATTAAATTCAATTGTCCTGTCCATGAGATTGTTCAGGTCATCTTTGGCTTTTCTGTATCCAAGAGTTCGATTGTGAGCTTCACTATGAGAACTGTTAAATTCAACTGTTAAATTCACTATGAGAGATATTAAATTCACTATGAGAGCTCTTAAAGGAGAGTGTTAAATTCAACTGTCCTATCTGTGAGATTGTTCAGGTCATCTTTGGCTTTTCTGTATCCAATAGTTCGATTGTGAGCTTCACTATGATAGCGGGTTATGGTGCAGTGCAGTGCTATTTAGATAAAGGGACAACTTTTCATTTGCTCAATTCGGGGTTGTGCATCTCGAGGATAGATTCCATATGTGTCAAGTTGTGATCCTTATCGAAAATGGTTTTGAAAAGTTTTAATAAAAGTTGATTTTGTTCAAATTAATCTTTTTACAACTTAGACCATTTTTGGACCAAAAGGAAAATTTTTAGTGCCCACAACTTCAAATTCATTGATTTCAATACAGAGTTCTCCAACTCTCGATACAGATCAAAGTAATAAACTTGGGGCATAGATAAATCAGGTGTTCCTGCGTCCCCTCCCAGAGCTTATGGAAGTTTCAAATGCAAAAGTAGGCCTGGTTTGCGCCTCATCTTCAAGCCAAGCCAGGAATTTGCCAGAAAGGGCATAGTTGAAATTGGGAGCGGGAGCCAGAATTCCTCTTATCCTCCATGCAGTGGGATACCGAGCTAGTTGTGAACCTCCGATTGAAAATGAAACCAGGTACTCTACCCCTTTTCTGGACAAATTCGGTCATGTCTGAACTGACGCCTAAATCAGAACAAAAAATAGAATACAGAGTGTGTTCGGCAAATCAGCTAAATACCAGGCTGCCGGGACATGCTGTAGCTCATCTCGGGCAGATCAAACTAGGGCCAATGCCAGGCAATGTCAACCGCAGACCTGTTGCACTTCCAATGGCACCACCACCCTTCGTCCAGTAAATCAACTAGCCGTTGGCGAAAGAAATAGCCTCGTGCTGAATATGCAGGGCAAGAGTCCACTACCTTCAACTTGTCCATGAGCCATATCTGGGGTGGGATGAAAAGAAAAGACAGATTAAAGAATAGAGAGGTGTATGCGGAGGGAAAAAGTGAGAAACGATTTTGAGATAAAAACAGAGCATGAGTGCCGGGTGATGTGAGAAACACATATGAGAAGGGTGGGAAACATTACCTACAAAAGTAGTGGACTTCCCATTGTAGACACCCCATTTTTGACCGTCCTCAAGACTTGGACGTCACCATTTGAACACTCGGTGATTATCCATGTTTATGCTCGTTTGGAGTTCCCGGAGGCCTCGGCTCGCGTGCCTTACCTCAGGATCTCCGAACTTTTGACTATTTTTTTCTCTATCTTTTTAGTAAAAATGACATAATCCAGCTTGTAATAGCGTTTAATACCAAAATAACCAACATATATACATGATTTGTTGTTAATTTAGTGATCATGGAGTTTTTAATAAGATCCAACCAAATTCAATTAGACCCAACATATTTTTAACCTTTCTTCCCATTTTTTTTCCATTTAAAAAATCATGATATATCTTCTAAAGATATTTAAGATTAAAGTTACACTATAAATTATCTATTGCTATTTTATTAAATTGAATATTACACGTGTGAGGTCAGTTATACCTTTTAAAATATTTTAGGTTTTAAAATAAAATATTCGAAATAATTCTTTCTTATTATTTGCTCACTGTTACTTAAAAAAGTAGATATGCTTATTGTCCAAATATCAATATAGTTGTTAATTATTATTACTTTAAAAATTGCTAGTTTGTCTATTTGGTTATTATTTTTATTAAGAATGGTTAATAAGAAATATCTATAAAAAAAAGAAAAGAAGATAAGATGGTGATTTTACATTTGAACCTTTGTTAACTTCTTACCTATTAAACTACAAGATTATCATTCAAAATAACATTTTCATTAATTTAAGTCTAAATATTTCATATTCATAAGATATATTTAACATCTAAACGTGTAGATATATGTTTTTAAGTAATTTAGAAAAAGTGACCAAATCTTTACGATAAACGATTCGATTCGATTCACGATTCGGTATGAGACCATTTCGATTCACGATACAAATCCCGATTTGACAACTACGTGCGCACCAGCTTGAGAGAAAGTGTTAGAATATTTCCTTATTTCCTTATTTAGATTAGATTGTGATTGATTGATTGATTAATTGTGATTCCTTAATCAGTCAATCAATCAATCAATCAATATAACAGGTGATTCCTTAATCAGTGCCTTAGGACTTCCTTTTGTAACAATTGATTGATTAATATAAAAGGTGATGATATCATAATCATCACCTAAGCTTTGTAATATCTTAAATTACATAAACATGGGGACATAAGATATGGACATGAACATGGTATAAGAAAAAGTAAAGTTCAGGAACAAAGCACTATGTGGACCTAAGTATTGCATTGCACCAAAGGGCATAGCTTGAGTCATCTCTAGAATTTGAGTGTTGCCTCTTGATTCCCGTAAGTACAAGAAAAGTGGGAGCAAACTGCTAAGCCCCCTCGTGTCCCACTAGTATTATATTGTAAATGTGAGCCACCTCTTCAATCCCAGGACTATAAAAATTGAAAGTGGAGGAAAGTCCATGGGTAATGAAATGGAAAGTAATAATAAGTGATCAATGCAGAAGCTAGCACAGCCAATCAAATGTATACAACTAGAAACCAGAGACATAGGGCTATTTTGGGAAGTGGGTTAAAAGCCACTTCCCAGCTTTTAACCCACTTCCCTCTCTCACGAAAAAGTTAAAAAAAGTCAAAAAGCAACTTTCAACCATCTTTCCAAAACACCCCATAGGTTTGAGATGTCTCTTCAGGCATTATTATATTTGCCACAAAATTCATTGAGCATGTTGAAGCGTAATTTTCCGTGGTGTAATGTACAAAAACTTCAATAGAACAAGAAGATGACAACAAAAATTCAATTAGCAATGAGATCAAATTGCTCAGTCAACATAATATTAGTCTACATTTTAAAATGGTACCAAACTACTTCCTTGTCAAGGTTCCACGCCCTTGACAAAAAAGGATACAAGGCAAGGCCACATGGTATTGGCCATTCTATAGAAAGTTCAACCATGGAAGATAATGTGCTGACCAAACGTGTACTGCAGAATCTTTTGCAAACATGGGATGGCAACTACTAAACCTTAAGGCCAATTCACCACTCATTTCTAACTAGAGCATACACTACAGATTTATAAATAAAAACAAGTGCGATTAGTAATGTTAGATTTGCTCAAACATAACCAATTAACTTTGAATTAGCAAGAAATATCAAACATCGATGGTAACAAAGAATAAACTTATATACTCTTTCATGAAAAGAATGATAAGAGCATTTTATCAATGAAGTTAAGGGTTACCTGTAAATCTGCATAGGAGAAGTTTGGCTCTAAGTATGATCTAAAGAAGTAATCCACAATGAATATCTGCAAACAAAACAGTGTGTCCATGTATTCTTATACAATCCTCATATAGGTTGGCACTTAGTCAGCTCAGATAGACAAATATATGTATATATGGAAAATCTATCAGGTCAACGAAACAGATAATATTTACTCGCTAAGTGCATTAAGTAATAATCATCATTATAAGAGTAAATTGTTCGTTTAATGGATCTCACAGTTCATTCAAAAGCAAAATATAGTTAGAAATCCTTTATTTAAAGTCTCATCTAGGTAGGAATCGTAATCTTAGAAATTCACGTATTGCTACCACTAGGGTTAGCCTAGTGGCCAGAGCCCATGTACCTCAGTATGAGGTCACTACGCTTCCAATGTATCGAAAAAAAAAAATAATACATAAATAAATTCTTGGATTTTCCAAATAATAGTTGCTTGCTTAGAGCACAATGCAATTATTATTGCCATACAAAATAACTAGGTTAGTCAATGGATCTGATGGTTTATTCAGAAACACAGTAACCAATTACAAGTGTAATCACATTTTAATAATGAAAATGTAGTTACCAACTCTATTCTTCGAAATTCATCCATTGTAGAGAATACACATTCCGTGTCAGAAGTTGCCGACTTCTACTTTGAAAGTTTGACTGGTCATTACCTCAAACTAAATATGTGAAACAATTATCTTTAGCAAGTGTTGGCGCTTCACTCGTTTCCCATCTTGGCTAGACAATGCCTCACCCCTATCCAATATGCATTCCTTTATTTATTTTATTTTTTTTATTTTATTTTATTTTTTTTTTTTTTGTGAAGAATAAGAAGAAGAAAGAAAAGAAGACTCCTATTTATTTAAAAACATTCCTACAGTTTGAATTCAAGTTTTGAGATATATAACATCTGCATAATGTGTTTGGTTGAGGATAAATGTTTGGTTAAGAAAAACACAAAATAATTCATGTGAAACTAATATTGATAATTGTTGGATCTGCTTCAATTTTGCACATTTTTTTCTTCCTTGTTTCTTCGGTGAGCAACTCTATTTTCACTTTGTTACACATTGACTGTGTAAGTTCCTTTGAATTGCTTTTCCTTGTTTAATGAAAAGTAAAAAAATTGCAAACGAAGCACCAGAGGGTGCCGCTAGTATTAATAGAGATAAAGAAAAAAGAAAAGTCACTACAAAGTCTAAAATTTGGTTTAAGTGAGGATCCACACTACCCGAGAACCAACTATTCCAAAAGGATAACAATCCACTTTTTTACTTTAAAATATGTTCTTTGATCCTGTCAAAAGTCCTACTGCATTGATTCTAAAAAAGCCACATCAAAGCCTAAGCACCAAACTTCAATCCTTGCTCCTCCTCTTCCCAACTCTAGCTCACTCTCCATGCATGAAGAAGATCTTTCCCCTTCCCAAGGAATAACCACACTTGGCCAAACATAGACAGATAGAAGGACCATAAGTCTCCACTCTCACATATAACTCCAATTCACATGAATTTGCTTCCTCTTATTAAAGTTATCAATAGTACGTATACGCTTTTCTCCACACCAAAAAATGTGACCTTGGAAGGAGCCTTAAATCTCCACCCCTCTCACCAAGGAAGGCCAACCCTCTCTAGCCCACCAAAGAATCGTAAAAGACTTTACCTCAAATCTACTAGATTTCGATCCTGTCCACCTCAATGCATTGTTCCCTTCCCCAATGTCAGAGATGACAAGAAGATGCCCAAGGAGATCCATCAATTCCTCCACCTCCCAATCATTCAACTCTCTACGTAGAGTAATATCCCACAAAATTTGGGTACCATCTTCCTTAAGGTAATCACAAATAGCTACTTTCTTCTTGACCACAATGTTAGCTAGGATAAAAGTGATGCATAGTATAAGAAGTTCAAGGAATGCTCAATTCAAAGAAGCAAATAATATTTGGACATTGACATAATTTCAATAATATTTGGACATTGTCTTGTGGGTCAAGTTTTTGAATTGGTTTTATTTATGTTTTTTATTTGGTCTTAAATTGGTTTTGAAAGTCAAACTAGTTTTAATAGTTTCCTTTTTTGGGTTCTAGTTAATTTAAGAAGTCTCCTAGTTCTATATAAAATCATGTAACACTTCTTATTTAAGGGGGTTGATATTTTAGAAAATTTCTAGAGTTTTGAAGCTTTCTTATGGATTGTGTGATGCAATCAAATTCTAGGAGTAATTCCTAGAACTATCTTATACCCTAATTACTATTCTCGGGTTACTATTCACAGCCCTTTGAAAGTGCACTTTTCAACATCAAAACTCTATCCAATCATCCCCAAATTAACCTTAATCCCTTCCCCTACCTATTAGCTTTCAATTTAACCATTAAAACCCTAAATTACTCCTTGTTTAGGCTGTAAAATAACCTCTATTTTGAAAATCCAGCAAGCTGTCTCTATTTGTCCTACATTAGTTTGGAATCAAAGCTCAAGGTTCACCTTGATGTTTTCACATTGTGAAAGATCCTACACAAGCAGATTGACTTCGGAAGAAGGTAAAGCGCTTCTAAGAGAAGAAATTTATCTAAGAAATTGAGGTTGCTCGTTCCTCTCAAGGTCTTTTCCTTTCTCAACAAAAGTATTTGCTTGATCTTCTCTCTGATACTAGTCCCTTAGGTGCCAGACCCATTGATAAGCCTATGGACTCGTCTGTCAAACTTGATGGTGAGCATGGCAAGTTATTTTCCGATGTTGGTTGATATCGTTGCTTGGTTGGGAAATTGATTTATCTTACTATTACACGTCCGGATATCACATATATTGTAAGTATGGTCAATCAATTTATACATGCTCCTCGCTATGCCCACTTTGATGCAATGTGTTGTATTTTGTGCTACCTGAAGAGTGCCCCTCGCCATGGTCTACTGTATCGTCCTTCCACTTTTTTGTTTGATACTGTCTTCAGTAATGCTAATTAGACTGGTAGTCGTACTGATCATCGTTTCACTTCTGGCTATTGTACCTTTGTTGGTGATAACTTGGTTACTTGGCATAGTAAGAAGCAGACTATTGTTGCTCGATCTAGTGCCAAAATTGAGTGTCGTGCTATGGCTCATACTGCATCTAAGATGCTCTAGGTTCACTCTCTTTTGCAGGATTTTGGCCTTGTTATTCCCACTTCTATGCACATGTGTTGTGGCAACCAAGCAGCTATCTTCATTACTAATAATCCACACCAAGTATATTGAGGTTGACTGTCACTTTATTCGGGATTTGTTATTACTGAAGCAACTTGTGACTCCGTATCTTTGGTTTGATGATCAACTAGGTGATATTCTTACTAAACGGTTACCTCGCTCTTCCTTCCAGCGTCTGTCTACCAGGTTGGACATGTTCAATCTCTATGCTCTCGCTTGAGGAGGAGTGTTAGAATATGTTTTTTAATTTTATAATGACGGGTACTATTGTCCTACTGTAAGTCTTGAGTTTAATATAAATAGTGTTGAGGTGAAGGGTTTAGTTAACAACCCAAAAACCTAATTATATCATATTCTCCTTTTCTCTCTCTTCTTCTTCTTCTCTACTTATTCTTAGCCCTAGTTTCTACACTCTTTACGCTTACAACTATATTTATGTTTCTTATTTAAGAGAGTTGATATTTTAGAGAATTTCAAGAGATTTGAAGCTTTCATATAGATTGTGTGATGCAATCAAACCCTAGGTGTAATACCCAAGGAATTCTAGGAGTGATTTCTAGAACTATCATCTTCTCTTTTTTCTTCTTTGCACTCATACCCTAGTTACTATTCTTAGTTCACAACCCTCTAAAAGTGCACTTTTCAACCGCAAAACCCTATCCAATCAGCCCCACCTACCTATTAGCCTTCAATAACCATTAAAACCCTAAACTACTGTTTAGGCCGTTAAATAACCTCTATATTGAAAATCCAGCAAGCTCTCTATTCATCCTACATCAACATGCCTCCCGGCTTACCCTCCCTCCACTAAGATGACATCAAAATTGCATCTTTCCACCATTCCTGCAACAAACCGAGTATGTCTTAAGAACTCATTATATACATTTTGGATACCATTCCAAAGCCATTGTCATGAGACAAGGCAACCTCCATGGATGACCATTTCCCCCACACATCTATTGTTAGATCATGACCACTCTCCAATACCTTTCCCTCTCACAAGAAAACCTCATTAGTCATTGCCCTAACAGAGCTTGATTGAACATGCCACTCCCCTAATTCCCAACCTGCCCTCTCTCAAAGGCATACAAATTGTGTCACAATCCACAGATGATATTTAAATTAATCTCCTATCCCACCACAAAGGAAATCACATTGCAATTTCTTCATCCTCTTCAGCATTGTACTAGTTTATAACTTGCAGTGCTTATTGGCTTGGGCAAGAGCAACGACTTGGACAATACTACGGAACCTATGCATGAGATTTGGTAAACACCACATGCGTACACACACGACTGATCTTGGTTGGATTAGGCATGTGCGCATGTGAAGTGGCATACTGCAGAGTGGTGTGGTGTGATGAGGTGGGTGCGCATGTGAGTTCTAGCGCATACCAAAGTTTTACACACATATTTTGTAACTATTTTGCAACACCATCAAGTTGTCTAGCATATCTTTGATTGATTAATTGAAGGATTAATTACTTCTTGTTACCCTATATGTCAACATATCTGCATATAAACAAAAAACCATAGAGACAAAATAATACCAAAAAAGATATATATCTTCTCCTATTTGTTGTTTTCTGCAACTCTATCTAAATTCTTTTGAGATACTAAACAAATCCCATGTGAGTCTAAAGTTCTGCTCATATGTCCACATAATATAGGCCATAGCTATTGTTGTATCCAATCACCAACCATCTGCACCAAGGTTCTACCAGTTGGCCAAAATCGCTTTTAAGAATGATGGATTTAGTTTTGCACCTCAGCATTTTTGTTTTCCGCTAAGTTCTTTCTGATTACTGTTCCACAATTATCCATTGTTGTTATTCTAATTTAACAGAGCAATTTTCTTATAAATTTGCAAAATATTAGGCCAAACAAGTACATTATCCAAAGAACTCACTAGCAAAACCACATTAAATCTGGTTTTTTCTTTTGTTTTGGAAAAGTTACATTACTTCTGTTATTGCAGCCATTTGATTGATATTTGTTATAAGGTGGCCTACTGAGATATATAGACAAGACTCCTATTAGAATCAATTTCTAGAATTTGTCCATGATTCAGAGATTGTCTCTAGAAAACTCCAACTCTCGCCCCATTCTAATAGCAATTGTTCATTAATCAAAATCCTCCAAGCCAGATTATATATATATATATATATTATGTATATCAACCCATTCAATGTAAGTTGATATATGTTGCTTTATGTAGAAACCAAAAGACAAGCTTTCAGAAATAAGTTGCTGTTGGTGAAGACAAAACTGAAGAGAATACAAACCTTTGGCTTGGTTAGAAGGAGTACATCACGATGAATGCCAGATAACCACCAATGGTCTTGATCTTCAAGGTAAGAACCATCACTCCATCTAAATACTTGAACGGCTAAAACATTTTTCTTGTCACATCCACATGGATGACAGAAATCAGTGATTTCAAACTCAGCAGGTAGTCTACTATCTTGACTGACCTAGCACAATACAGGATTGTTTGTTAATGGACACATTGGAGCATTGGTATAGAATATAGATGTATTCAGCTTCAAGCCTAATAAGGTTAAAAGCAATAAGATTTCACATAAATAAGACATGAAATTATTTTATTAAAAATTGTAGTTAGGTGATCCATAGAAGAAATGAACGGTTGTGAATATTTTACAATACATGACAAAGTAGTATTGCATATAAATGAAGTGAAAGCGGAGTTAGTTCAGGATATTGAGGAATTGGATGTGAAGGAATCCCGGGGGGGAGGGTTTATCGAGGAATTTAAGGGATAAGAGATCATTGCTCAGGATGAAATTGGAAGAACTTGTTTTTAGGGAGCAAATTTTTTGAGGACAAAGAGCTAAATTAAAAATGGGCTAAAGATGGCCATGTTGATTCTAGATTTTTTTCATAGGATTGCGTCGAGCAAGAGGAAGAAGAATTTCATCAAAAATCTAGAGGTGGGGCAGGGTGTGGTGGTAAGGAGGAGCCTATTGTTAAAGAGATTTACAATTTTTATTTAAATCTCTATTCTGACAGGGGAGTGGATCATCTAGGGATCGAAGGTCATAGTTGGGCTCCTATGGAGTCAGCGACAACTAGTTGGCTTGAGAGACCCATTCATGAATGTGAGGTGAGACAGGCAGCTTTTTGAGTGTGAGAGATAAGACCCCAGGTCCGGATGGTTTTTCAATTACTGTATTTCAAGATTGTTGGGATATTGTGAAAGGAGATCTTATGAGAGTCTTTGGTGAGTTCTTCGAAAGTGGGGAGGTTAATTTATGCACCAATGCATCCTTCATTTGTCTAATTCCCAAAAAAGGAGAAGTCGGTCGAGATTGGAGATTTTAGACCAATCATCTTAGTTACATCACTCTACAAAATTCTAGCAAAGGAGCTTTCTAAGAGACTTAGGGTGATCCTTGGGGAAACCATTTTTTCTACACAGGTGCCTTTGTGCAGGGAAGGCAAATATTGGATGTAGTCTTAGTGGCTAACGAGGTAATTGAGGAGTATAGGGGATTACATAATGAGGGTGTTGTTTTTAAGGTTGATTTTGAAAAAGCATGTGACCATATTGATTGGGGGTTTGTGGATTTCGTTTTGGAAAGGAAGGGGTTCGAATCTAGGTGGAGAATGTGAATTTGGGGGTGCTTGTTGTCATGTAATATGTCGGTCATTGTGAATGGCAAGGCTGGGGATTCTTTTAGAGCATCGAAGGGTCTAAGGCAGGGTGATCCTTTATCACCATTTTTGTTTATTCTAGTCGCTAATGTGCTTGGGTCGGATTATTGATAAAGCTGGGGATAAGGGTGTCATTGAGGCCCCGTTTGTTTTTAGAGGTAGAATGGAGGGAATTCATAGTGAGGGGATTAATAGTGAGGGGATTGTTAGTGAGGGAATTGATAGTGAGGGGATTAAGTAAAATTATGTTTGTTTTGATGATAGTTGTTAGTGTAGAAATTGTTAAATTATTTTTATATAAAATAATAAAACAAATAAAAAAATATAAAAAATTAAATATTAATATTTAAAAAAAATTCTCAATATATAAAAAATAAAAAAATAAAAGAATTTCTAATCCCCTCACTATTTTTCTAATATCATCTCTACCTCCATCTCAATCCCCCTTCCAACCTCCATCTATAAATACCACCTCCTTCTCCTCCTCTTCCTCCATCGCAATCTCCCTTTCAACCTCCATCTCAATTCCCTCCTTCATCCTAATTCATTTCCTAACTCTACAAATAAACACAACACTAAGGGTGCGTTTGGTAACGTTTACGTTTTTAGTTTATATTCATCTCAATCCCCCTTCCAACCTCCATCTATATCACCTCCTTCACCCTAATCCCCTCTCTAACTCTACAAACAAACACAACACTAAATAATCTCACCTCCATCCTAATCCCCTCCCATCTATTTAACCCCAAAACAAACAGGGCCTGAGGGTTTTGTGGTGGGGAGGGATAGAATTGGAGTCACTCATTTGCAATTTGTAGATGATACTATATTTTTCTCATCAAAGGAGGAAAGTAAGGTGAGTAGTTTGCTAAAGATTTTGAGAATTTCAAATTGTGTCAAGCCTCAAGGTCAATCTTAGCAAGAGCAATGTTGATAGCTATGTGCAAAGGGTGGCAGATATGTTGGGATGTTCCATTGAATCTTTTCCCCTCAAATATTTGGGAGGAGATTCTAGATTGACGTCCTTTTGGGAACCTGTTCTTGTCAAAATTGGGAAAAGATTGAAGGGATGGAAGCGAGCTTTGTCGTCTAAGGGGGTACGATCTACTTTGGTACAATCTGTATTAGACTCTGTTCTTATTTATTTCTTGCCCCTATTCAAAATTCCGGTTAGCATTGCAAGGAACATTGAGAAATTGATGAGAGATTTTCTTTGGGAATGGTGTGAAAAAGGTAAAAGGGTTCATTTGGTTAAGTTGGAGACTGTTTCTCTCCCTAGGGATAAAGGGGAGCTATAGGGAATATCATTGCTAGGAATATTGCTCTATTGAGCAAGTGGTTGTGGAGATTCCATGTTGAAAGTGAATCGCTATGGTGTTCGGCTATTAAAAGCAAGTATGGAGTTCATCCTAATGGTAGAAATTCTAACGTGGCTAATAGAAGCAATTGTCGTTAACCGTGGAAGTCCATTTCTCGCTTGTATCAACTTGTGTCTAACTTTCTTTCATTGAGAGTGGAAAATGGGGAGAGCATCCATTTTTGGGAGGAGGTTTGGTTAGGGGATATCTCGTTTGATAGAGCTTTTCCTCTTCTTTATCAGTTGGTTCGTTCTCGAAATGTTTCGATAGCGTCGGTGGCATGCTCTTCTATGGCACCTATCTCTTGGAATTTTGACTTCCTTAGAAACTTAAATGATAGGGAGGTTGCTGAGTTGGCATCTTTGTTGGTATTGCTTGATGGGGGTTCTCTCTCTTCCTCTCGTGACATTAGGGTTTGGAATCTTATTTTTTCAGGGATCTTTTCCTATAAGTCCTTTTTTTGAAAAGCTTATTGATTATCCCTCTATTCCTTTGTTTCCCACTCATAAGAAAATTTAGAAAGTCATCGTCCCTCATAAAGTGAAGTTTTTCATGTGATTTTTAGCTCAAAAAGGTGTCACAACAAATGATATTTTCCATAGAAGACGACCAAATCACTCTCTCTGCCCTCAATGGTGTGATGTGCAAGAGGAATTCGGAGGTAGCGCAACATCTATTCCTTCATTGCCCGGTGGCTTATGGATTATGGCAGCGTCTATTCAGCTTCGGAGATGATCAGTGGGTTGCTCTGCGGGAATGCATTCAAATGATTCTTGTTAGGTTCAAAGGATTTGGGAGCACCAAAAGAGCCAAATCACTGTGGTCATGCATTGTGTTTGCTATTTTTTGGATTATATGGCTGGAGCGAAACACAAAACTCCTTGATGGCAAGGAATCAAATGACAAGGCTTTGTGGGATAGGGTGGAATATGAGACTTTGTTCCCCTCCTTTTAATGGAGTCCCTTTATTCTTGATCTCAAGGGATTGGGCTACTGTTTGCCATCCCTAGTGCTAGAAGCTTTATGCTTTTGTTTTGTTCTTTCTCATCCTTTGTATGAGGACTTCTTGTCCTCTTTCTCTCTCTTTTTTAATAAAATTTTGTTGATGCTCAAAAAAAATAAAAATAGTAGTGCATGTAAATCACCAATGCGTTGCATTTCTATTATTACTTATGATAGACATGAAAAACACGCTACAATGCACATACAGTGTATATACACTGAGTACACTCCCCATTGCTTTGGTGTTATTAGATAAAAATAAATTTTAAATTAAGAAACTTAGTATACAATTGATTAATGGGCTTCAAACATAAAGAAAGCATAGAGAATCTAGCTTTTGTTTGCAACTCTAGGTGGGCACAAGAAACAACTTCGGTCCTGTGCATAGAAACTAACACTTCCTGTTGAATCCTCTACACCAGGGGACCCCTAATTATCATGAATTTCAAAATTTTATCAACATAGAATTATGCGACTGAAGGAATAATGGAAAGACATTAAATTTTGCATCAGAACTTAAAGGGTTGAACATCATCATATCCTGGTCGATCTAAAAATGTCGAACTTTTTGCTTTAGTTTTAGGAGTTCTCGATGTCATGTCTCTGTATGCATACCTATTCCCATATTATATTTTATTATGTGCACTTTTTTCATCTGTGACTTTGTGAGTGCACCCTGTTCATTTTGTTTGTCTCTGTGAAATGTGAGGTTATTTTGGTTTTAGTACTTAAAGGGTAGTTTAGTCTGATAGTGTGTAATTAGGACTTTAGAGTTTCTTCAGATTCGGAATGTCATATAGTCACACCCACAACATACCCTTGCATACTACGAAATTTTTCATAACATTGGGCCAATACAAGTAATTAGTCCTATCTAAACTTATGCTAATGATGTGTATCTTGTCGTCAAACACATGGTTGTTAGAATCACAATTCGATATGACAAATCGTGCTGTTGAATTGGAAATTGAGTGAATCATTTTTGTTTACAAAATGCATGAAAAGACATCAATTTTGCCAAATTATCAAAATATATAGAAGAAATTAGTTATATCGATATACATGATTTTATTTGTACATATACAACTTAGTTATATTGATATTTACTTCATTTTAAACATTGTGTATTTTTTATATGTATATAAAGATATAAAATTATATATCATATAGAATAAAATGAATCTTACAATTCACAATTCAATATTTTAACAAAATGATTCACAATTTGATTTGCAATTTGACAACAATGGTCAGACATATTGCAAATAGAGATGAAGACTACGGTCATACAAAGGATGGTCACCTGAGACAAAGGAGTCGAAGCCAGGCCACACTAATGGGTCAAGTCAAAGCAGCACCTACCAGAATAGATGGGTCAAATCAACAAACCAAAAGCCAAATCAAGACCAACTGGGTCAAGCTAACAAGAGTCCAGCCACGAAGATAGTCAAACCAGGAGGAGAGAACCACCGATTGATCACAAGCGAAGGGCAAAAAGATGGGTACTAACCACTGATCGACCAGAAACAAAGAGAAAGAAGGTGGGTCAAGGACGCAACCCCAAACGAGACGAGAGGGAGTGGATCACAAACCAAGTAGTGATCTGTAGCAAAGAGAGACAAGATAGGTTGCGAACCACAGGGCACTAGGAAGATGGCATGAACAAGGTCAAACGAAGTATGAACAAAGTTTGCAAGAGAGGTTCGACTACACAAGACCAGCTGAGTGCGAACGGCAACACTCCGACAAGAGGCCAGTGATGAAAACAAGATAACTAGGGCTGTCAATGGTCCTGCCCTGCTGTAATACCATGATTTTTTTTATTTTTTTATTTTTTTTTATAAATCCTGCTGTAATACCATGATACAATTGCAAAGGTAATCAGATGATTATGTTATTGATTATCAAAGTAAAGTACAAGTTAAATAGGCAAAACAAAGAAACCCTAAAGCCCTAATTACACATTGTTAGACTAAACTACCCCAAGTACAAAAACCAAAATAACATTATTTCACACTCTCCATGTGAAACAGGAAGCCCAGACATGAGGTGGATGCAAGAGCTAGATATACATTGTTGCTCTCATTGCGAATAGCTTGGGCTTTCACAATAACTCACTGCTCAACATTCACAAAGAAAGAAAGAATAGTATTGTTATATCATCTACAGGACTAAGAAAAACATACCCCAGGGCAAAGTAATTGTAATAATTCAAAAAAATCTACTTGAACACAAGTAGCACAAACCTATATCCAACAGGAACCCCATTTATCCATGCGTGGAAAGCAGAGTCAACAGCTTCAAAGTGTAGGAATATCCTACGACCTATCAAACACAAATGGAAATGTTGCAAAAATTAGTTGACAGAAAATTAAGGACACACACCTGTATGTATGTGTTTGTGTGTGTGAATGGGAATTACTAAATCTGCACTCTTTCTGGATAGAGCAACAGCCCCTCTTTCACATGGTGGGGCCCACGCACGTGAGAGGGAGTGCTACAGATTTAGTGTTCTCCATATGAATTTATAACAAATTTCTGAAGACAATTAAAAAATTCATATATAAACAATTAGCATAATTGAAGACCGCATGCACAACATGGTGCAAACACACAATGCATTCAGTTTCATATTTCTTAAATGAAAAAAAAAAAAAGCAGCAAGACTAAAATTATTTTTCACAAACTGAAATATAGCATTTTATTTATAAAATGGAAGTCATCTACATAGTTTTATAGTAAACTTGACAACTTATATTTACTATTTGAATACATATCCAACTAGGCATATTGGACACCTATCCTACAACCTTATGGCCTAACCCAAATGTTTGGTCAGACACTTGTAGTTTACAAATTTAGAAGAGTAACATGTGAAGCTTTACACTCCTTACACCTTCACGATTTCTTCAAAGTCTAGAAAAATGCCTAGGTTTGGATTAACCCTCCCTGACAACCAACTGCATAAAATAGCCAAAAAGTTTCTATTCAATCTATACAGGGGCTGATCTATATCCTGCAAAGTTCTCTTATTGCATTATCCCCAAATGAACCACATCAAGCAAAAGGGTTGCAATGCCTCTGAAGCCTCCAAGGGCAAACCCAAGAGACATCCCAAAAGCATCAATGCCCAAAACTCCATAACAATAGAACAGTGAAGGAGAATATAAGGCACAATCTCTCCCTCTTGCTTGCATGAACAACACTAATTTACAAAAACTCGACATCTAAAAATCAGAATACCAATAGATAGAATCATCTCATAAACCACATTCCACACAAAAAACGCCACCTTAGTAGAAGCTACACAGCACCAGAACCAGATTCTAGTCGAGTGAAATTTGCCTCCACTCTATCCCCCATAAGAGAGACTTCATCCCAAACTTCTATTTCTGAGAAATTGCAAATGTCATCCTGCTCCTCCCCTGCTCACTCGATAAACTAAATGGAGGAGCTCAACAAACTCATCAGCCTCCCAATATCGTAAGTTCCTCCCGAGGGGAATGTTCCAAAACACCTGATTACCACTCTCCTAACATAGGCTGCAACCTGACCCTCCTAATCAATAGGGATGAGTTGAGAAGACATGTAAAAAGTGCTGCATGAGAAAATCTTATGAGTAATGCTACAATGACTATCTATTTCTACCATCTTATCTAACCATCGGATTTGTTAGTCGAATTGTCAGCACTACATTGAAGATACACCCATTAAACCAATATTTCGTTGACAGTAAAAGATGGTAAGCAGAAAATGGTATAGAAATGTGGTAAGCATAGCATTATTGAAATCTTATTGTTAATATTAATCATAGCTCTTACATGTACATAAAATTATTTCTCCAGCAACTAAGTGACACACCAAGCTGATGTAATCATGTCAAAAAACTGGTGTCCTACAAATTTTCCTGAATAATAGTCTTATTTTTATTTTTTGATTAGTTTTAATGGTTTTAGGTGTTAAAGAGCCATACCTCAAAAAAATTCTTCTTTCTATAAGAAAATGATATTTTTTTTAAAAAAAATTTGAAAAGTATGTTAGGCTTACAGTTTTCTTTGTCTTTTTCTCTTTTTTTCATTTTTTCAATATGGATGAGGCTTTAAGGTTATTACTTTGAAAATGTGTTCTTTAAATAATTTAAGTAAGTTTTTTAACTAGTAAACCATAGGTTTTCAATATATGGCACCAATGATAAGGGGAGGAAGTGCCATGCACAGACAATGTACACCAAAGATATACACCCTATATAAAATTAAAAGACATTGAATTCTTCTCAAAATCCACAAGTCTATATCAAGGGACGTCATCATCATATCTATTGCAGAGCTACATAGTGCCAAAATGTTTTTGTTCAAATCATGAACAAAGTACATAGTTAAGACAAAGGTTTCAATCAAATCAGTCACTCCAATCACAAGTCAAATTTATTTTTGAACCCCGTCAAAATAATTAGACTAGAACAATAAGGGCATGTTTGGCAACGTTTATGTTTACAGTTTTCAGTTTATATTTACTATAATCTTGAAAAATGTAGACAAAGACTCGAAATAAATCAAAGCACTTTGAGTCGAACAAAGGAGACTGACACAACTTAAAAGCCAAATGGATACCTTGAACCTCTTCGACGAATCTAGATTCAAATCAATAGTAATTCACTAAGCTTTGCAAAGCTTGAAGATTCAACCAAAAGCATACACGACTTGAAAACGAAATCCATTTGTGGATTAGGGCTACAAACGATTGCAAACCAACTCTATTATCACTAGGGGTGCAACTCAAATTGGTTTAGTCAGGTTGAGAGATTGCCTATGCCCAACCTACGTTACACAGACGTGTCAATTTTGGCGAAGTACCCGTGTCGACGCAACGCAACACGACGTAGGTACGGGTACGGGTATGGGTACGGAATCAGAATCTGGCTGGGATACAGAAAAAAAGAAGAAGTAAGAAGAAAGATGGCATACCTGCAATTAGGGCTACGAAAACTACAATTAGGGCTTCGATCTGTCTTCTTCTCTCTCTTCTCTCACTCTCACTCTCACTCTCAATCATCCTCTTTGTCTCTCTCTTCTCTCGCTCTCGATCATCTTCGTATCTCTCTTCTCTCGGTCTCAATCGACTTCATCTCTCCCTTCTCTCTCTATTTTCTTCTCTCACTCTTGATCCGACTTCTCTACTCTCTTCTCTCTTTTATTTTCTCTCTCTTCTTATATATAATATAATGAGAGCAACTCCTTTCGTCTTCCAAGAAAAGGTGTACTGGCTCTTGAAAGTTGTCACCAACAAACTAATAAACTCTTACCTTTTCATCTACCAGTCAGAAGTTAAAACAGCTAGCATCCACCTACCAATTATATGATAATAAATATAATTAAATCATATATAATAAAAAAATAAAAATTATAATAAAATCTATAAAATACATCATCTATTTTCTATTTATTTTAACATAATTTGTTATTTCTTATTTACTATATTTTTATTATTTATAAGTAAAAAAATAAATTATATAGATAAATTAAAAATATTATCAATAAAAATAACACATAAGATAAAAATAATAAATATATTTTAAAAATAACTATTTAACTCATCTTTATATAATAAATATATTTAAAAAATCAAATATTTAGCGTATCCTAGTGCCCGTATCCCCGTTTGGATCCATATCCATGTATTCTCAATTTTTAGTATTGAAGTGTCCGACCCCTAGATATGCACCCGCACCCACACCCGAGTCCGTGTAACGTAGGGCCCAACGTAAGTTATGCTAAGAGTTGGCCAAACCCACCCAAGCCCTACTTGCAACCTCAACTTGTATGCCCAAGCCCAACCAAAGCATAAAAAATTGAACTCAAACTATACATGAATTGCCCAAATTGCCCGGTGAAGGATGCTTCAAGAAACTGCAATTGACTAAAGCAAAAAAGTTTGATCTGCAAACTAGAGTCTGTATGTCCTTGGAAAAGCATAATACATAAAATGTATGTTACAAGCCAAAGTCTAGGTAATGACTTCAAAAATGAAAGATGCACAATGAATCACTATGGTGTGGAAAGAATACAGATATACCAGCATTAGAAATAGTCACGCAATTGGCAGTAGAATTTGACTACTGCACCGACTACAAATCTTATTGTAACTTAACAAAGTATAGACGTAACATACAAATGAAGTTATGATAAACTAATGCCCTTATGACATTCAAATTTATTTGTAGAATGGATTGGATTCAAATTGCCAAAGTTCCATTTAATTGATATTGAAAAAGTAGAAAGAATTCTAAAAAAGAGGACAGCCACAGGGAGGGTATTCATTAATCAACTCTAACTACAAGCATTCTCAATAAGTTCATACCTTCCCATTCTTTTGGAAGATGAAAGTATGTCCTGTAGCAGCCCGTAGGATTATCCTCTGGAACATGAGGTGGATCAAGTGGAAATGGATATACAACATTTGTGTAAATAGGCTTATCAAATCCATGCATTTGCCAATTGGAAGGAACTGTTCCAATTAGAAAAATGAAAATATATAAGAGGTTGTAAGAAAAGCACTCGAAGAAAAAGATATTCCTACTCAAACTTGAAAAAAAAAACTCATAATACATACTTAGTTGTTGCACACCACAACCTTATAAATGCTTCCATCAGGTAAATTCACAATGCCACATACTTAATTTAATGGCTATACAAAGACTATGCCACAACTCAAGAACTGGAGAGCTTAGCACAATTTGAAATCTGGTTGAAATAGAAGTACACTAGTAGCTGTACAAATTTAAGCACTTGATAATGTAGAACAATTTGATAATTTTATACAATTAGCATCAATTAATGATTCATTACTCCAACTCTTGGCGTTCAAATTAGGTCACCTATATTCATAGGCCCATCACATGTAGAACCATTGAAGTTACTGCCAATATATATATATATATATATTTCGTCGGAGTTGAACTTGCAAGACACATGAAAGTGTTAAACTATTTCATATTTGAAGCACTAACACATTAAACATATACTTTTTATTCACATGCACACTCGTTCTACTTTCTCAAATGACAGCCCAATTTTTAAGGTGTATGGTCAAAGTTCAATCACTTGATAATCCCCATATATCTTGGGATCAATGAAACCATTTCAAAAGCTGGATGAGAATAAATGTATTTAAGAATAGAATAAAATTTGCGCGCAAAAATCAATGCTTGACGAGCATATTGGAGGAATAAAATGACAAAAGGAAGACACATGCTCACACACACACACAGAGTAGCCTTCGTTTTGCTAATACTTGATTCTATCATAAAACCTCGTGCCTTTTTTTACCTCTCTTCATGTGTACTTTGAGCTTAATCCATATAAAAATGCCTTTATTGATACTAATTGGGTGCATGTTATGCAAAATGAGTTATCATCTCTCGCAAAAACTTATACTTGGAAGTGGGTCCCTAAAACCCCAAAGAACGCCATGTGTTATAATTATTTGACTTAGTTTTGTTTCAGCCTTTTGTGGGTCTCATTTCTGTATTCTTTGCATCGTCTTGATGCTTTCTAATAAAGGTTGTTTATTTATCCCAAAAAAAAAAAAAAATACCCTAAGTCAAATTAACCATCTTACTACACAAATATTTGAGGTAAAGCTTAGAAACGAGGATTAGGAAGCTCGGAATATGTAAATTTCACTATCAACCACTAAGACCTAAGAACTAGTCACCTCTTGAACATAGCAAGCATGTATTACATCAACAGTATTTTTACATAACATGACCGATACTTAATTTAATTACCTTTCAATACTCTAGAGATAGAAATATGAATTGATAAGATGAAACCTTAGAAGATGAATACAATTAACAAGGAGTTTAGCAATGAAAGACGTGCCTTAATTAAACAAACTCAAGAAAGAGAAATACTTGAAGATTACTAAGAGTTAGGGGCCACTTCAAGTTTAGAATTTGTGAATGCTTGGGTGTGCCTATGCACTAATTGAGGAGCTTAAAAATCTTAGACTAACGTGCTCGTTGTTTTAATATTATATGTCATTTTGCTAATCGGGATTAGTGTTAATTAAGTAGGATCAGTGAACCCTAATCGTTAAGCTAAGCAAGATTAAGATAAATCTTGATTAATTAGAGACTAACCTTAATTAATTATAGCTAATATTGATTAACTAAGCTAAGTAAGTGAGATTAGGTAAATTGGTGAGGCATACGAATAAACTAAGAAGCCCAGACACTTCTAAGAAGGTGACGTATCCGTGTCGTGTCCATGTCGGACACCGACATTCTTTGGACACTCTTAGGACACGTGTCCGACACTCTTCAAAACGTGTCCTATTTTTTAAATTTTTTTAAAGTGCCGGACACTTGGAGGACACACATGTCAATTGCTTAAACACATGTGCCTATCGATTAGACACGTGAAACCAATTATAAGTTTAAACAAAACAACTTAAGATACAATAATAAAACAAAAACCATATAAATTTATAGGAATTAGTGTCATATTATATTTTTTATTATCTTTAAATGACATATTCATATATATAACATATAATAAATATATAAAATTATATATTTCTTGCGTGTCCCCCACATGTCCTGTCCTGCATTTTTTGAAAATTAACGTGTCGGCATGTCCGTATCGTATCCGTGTCGTGTCACGTGTCCATGCTTCTTAGCGAATAGATGATGCATATGCCTCCCTTTTTGTCCCAACTCAACTATTGCCTTATATCTAACCTTACAAAAACAAAACAAGAAGAAAATATGTAGAGTCAAGAAGAAAGGAGAAGAAACAAAAAGGAAGGAGAAGAAAAGAGAAAGAAGGAGAAAAAAGAAGAGAACTTGAGGAACGTCACCAAAAATTCATCTTTGATCAATCGAAGGTAAGATTCTAACCTTAATTCTTGTAGTAATAGAATCAATTTGGGTTAATGATTAAGTTATAGAAGAAAGAATGAAGAAAGGATGAGTAAGTTGGAAAACAAGATAGGTAGCCTAGATTTTTGTTATTTTGATCTTAATTTTGATGCTCTTGTTGCACAATACCTTCATATTTTCAAGTGAAATCCAAGAGTTCTACAAGTTCAAATTTATGTTTTGGAAGGATAAGCAAAAAAGGTTTAAATAAGAAATAGAGTTTATGAATTCTTGACAAAAAGCTAAGTTTGATCCTTGTGCCTTAAGAATAAATCATGTTTTGAAGTTATTGCTTTAAAAGAATTATATTTCCATGTTTTCCTTTAAGTTTTAGAAGTTTTACAACAAGTTTTTAAGGTCCCAAGCCCTGAAAATGAGAAGAGATAGTAAGAACAAAGGCAAATTTCAAATAGCACAAAAATAGCCATTCCCGCACGGGCCGAAGTGATTCCCGCACATGCGGCCAAACCCTCCAGAAATCAATTTTTGATTCTGAAATAACCGCACATGCCCTCAGATTTTCTGCACATGCAACAACTTTCCCACACCTCATCCCACGTGCCCTGGCAAGTGCGGCAAACAGGGCATTCGTCTGATTTGACCATTTTTCGCTTGTTTCAATGCACCGGACCTTATAGAACTTATTTTAGACCTAAAATAGAATTGAATAGAGTTTAGAAACTAATTTTTAATAGGAAAATTAAGGAACAAAGTTTAGAATTCGGTTAACGCATTTGTTTTTCATTACACATGCAGCAACCCCTGCTCCAAGCCTATTTCAAGTTTTTCAAGCCTTGTTTGCTTAGGATCCTTCCACGCTTGCATTTGACACTTAGTGTACACGTTTAAGACTTGAATTAAACCTAGAATAGTACTTGACATTTGGAAGAAGTTTAGAAAAACGTTTAGCTAAGTTTAGGCACTCAAATTGTTATGTTTGTGCATGTAAGCTAAGTGCTTCAATGTTTTATTCTTGTTTTGTGTAGGTTAAACTTGAAGGAGAATATAGCCTCATTCACGGAGCCATTTGTGAGTAGCAGTGTAGTAAAGTTATGTTTGTTAAACTATGATCTGAAATGCAAAACCTATGCTATTTTATGAAAGATATGCTAATGTTTTACCATGAATGAACAGCCTATACTCTTGTATCATGTATTAAGATGACACACTAGATCTTGTTTTATTATTGAGAAATCATGCCAATAACGTCTTACTTGCTAACTGAGCTCCTTTTGCCACTTGTTGTGGATTCTTGATATTCTCGGACCCCTTGGAATGTTCATCGCTATGTATATGTTTGCAAGTTAAGCTTTGTTTAACATGTACAAATTATGTTATGTTTGAACTATGATCTTGTGCTTGGTTTTATTAAAGTTCATCGATATTCATTCATTTAGAACTTTACTGTATTACTATTCACTGGAGGATGGCTCACCCCTCTCCCTTATATCTATATATATAAGAATTGCTTTGCTCCATCAGGCTTGTCTTTTTTTTTCCTATTTTTCCCTTCAATTTGTGTTCATATTTTCTATTTTCCCTTCAATTAGTAGGTAGAATTAATTGGGTGGAGGGCTTTTGGAAATTATGCAAGGAATTTGCGTTAATTTTGGTTTGACTTAGTAATTAGAGACCATCAAATAATAAAAAAAATACATAAAAAAATAACTACCTATAATTTCAGAGCCATTTTTGTTAAAAGTGATTTTAGAGTAATTGTTTGTATAGTTGTTACACTCTTAACTTCTGAATATTATATAATCAACATTTATAGAATTAAATATCAGTCATCTAAAAGAAAACTGCAAAAATATTTTAGATAACTAAAATCGTAATAAGGACACATGTTATTAACCCCGCACCCAAAAAAATTTTAAAAAATTTAAAAAAAAAAAGAAAAAATAAATAAAAATTGACCTTTATAACAAAATAAAAAATTAATTTTAAATTTTGTCAATTAAAACTCTATATCATTTATGTAACAACTTAAAAGTTAACACCTACTATATCACATAATTGTGGATCGAATTGTGTGAGTTTTTTTAGGTCTCAAACATTTTCCAATAATGTGATAAGAGAGTTTGGTCCCATACCATCATGTATGTAATTACAACTTGACACCTATCATGCCATAACAAATTGCAAGTACATATTTACTATGCCATATTATTGTGGGTTAAATTGTGAACACTTTTTGAGAGTATTAAAAATTTTCCTTATCCATTACAATTTACAAAAATTGTTCCTTATTTCTTTCCCAAAACAAAGATTCCTATCAAATTAAATAACGTTGCATATTATACTATTTTAATACTAAATTGAATAATATTTTAGTTAGCATGTTATTATAAAAATTTTCATCACATGATTAATTTAAATCACCACGTGGATAATGCCATATAATATTTTGTATTACTAATTACTTAGCTAAAACTGTAAATAAGTAAAACATATTACATATGATATAAGAAGATGTTAAATATATTTAATGTACGTATAAATGTACATTAAATAAATATATATATAGAGAGAGAGAGAGAGAGAGAATTTGCTTATATATATTTGGAGAGTTTTATGAACAATATGTTCGACGAACCCGACAATATAAACTGTTCAATTTGTTTAATCTACTATTCCATTCACTTTGGGAAAGAATTTGCTTTTTAACATAATAATTTCAAATAATATTTAATTAATTGAAATGAAGGTTGAATGCCATTAAATTGAAATGGAATTATGCTTTTTTAAACTCTACCAAATAATAACTCCATTATATTCTACTTCCATTAAAACAAACACTACCTTAAAGTTAAAAAAAATAAATAAAATAAAAAATTGGCCAACTTGCCTGTGCAAGCACGGGCCTAATTCACTAGTATATATATATATGTAGGTGATGAATAGTCCGGGTACGAAGTGAAGTTGATCAGAAGTCGATCTCGTGTGCTTGTGCTGGTTTTGTAAAGATATGTCATTAAGTGTTGTATTTTATTTTATTGTTTAAGTCATGTAATAATGTAGATAACAATCCAAGAGAAATGTATGTTTTCATTTCATATAGTTATGCACTACTCTGAATAGATGTTTCAAATGGACTTAATATAAGCAAATATTGATTTCTGCACTCAAAAATGGAAAATTTGCCCCAATTATCATAGGAGTCCAACTTGTTTTGAAAGTTAAGCCTTTGGTAGTCCACGACTACTAGCCAATCACTACACTACCCTGTTTGGGGCGGAATGGGGTCATGAGAGGGTCCCCTTGCATGCATGTAAGAACCTTGCTAGGTGTAAGAAGGCTCACTATTTACAAGGTTAAATCCCACATTGATAGATCACTCAAGCTCCATAAGAAGCAATTGGTTGCCAAGGTTTTTTCTTAAGAGTATAGGATTCACCATGAAGTGACGTTAGCTCATGTAGATAAGATGACCATAATTTGTACTTGATTTCTGTTGTTGCAGTACATCAATGGCTTTGTTTTCAACTGGATGTCGAGAATGTCTACCTCAATGGGCATCTTGAAGAGGAAAGTTTATATTCGCCCTTCTCTAGGTATTCTCATTCCTATGGTTATGTTTGTCATCTACAACATGATATTTTTTACCCCACATAATCTCCTTGTCTGTTGTATGAACACTTTCAGTCAACTTGAGTTTCATCCTATTGCTCATGATTATGCTTTCTCTATCCATCATTCTACCGTGGGAAAGGTTGTTTTGTTGTTCTATGTGGCTGACATGATCGTTGTTGGTTCTAACTTTGGTGCTTTTGTCAAGGCGATACGTCATTCACTGTGCCACACTTCCTAGTGATAAGGTAGTTGATAATCCCACTGAGTTACATGTCAAATTTGTTCTCTAATAATGTTCCCCTTGATGATCCTACTTTGTATCAAGAATTGCTTAGTTGTTTGGCTTATCTTACCATGACTCATCCTAATAATGCCTATGTCGTTCATGTGGTTTGCCAGTTTGTCTTTGCACCTCATTCTACATATTGGGCTACTCTATTACAAATTTTATACTACGTTTGTGACACTATCTTTTAGAGCTTCTGTTTGTTTTCTTCTTCTTTGACCCTTCGAGCCTATACAGATGTAGATAGGGTTGGTGATGCTTTTAATCTCAAGTCCACTATTGATTTCTGCATTTTTCTTGGTGGTTCTCTTATCTCCATGAAAGCAAGAAACGAAATGTCATTGGTCATTCTATTATTGAGGCCAATTATCATCGTAAAATTTATGCTACAACTAAGATTGTTTAGCTCCATTGGATTCTTTCAAATTTGGGTGTCTCATTCACCTCTTCGAACTCTCCTCTAGTATGATATAGCAAGAGTGCTATCAAGATTCCCAATAACTCTATCTCCGGTTAGCGTACCAAGCACATCAAGATTGATTGCCATTTTATTCGTCAAGATCTTCAGTCGGGTGGTATTGATGTACCTTTCATCTCTTCCTCCTTGCATATTGCAGACTTCTTCACCAAGACTCGTACTTCAACTCGCTTTAAGTTCTTATCTGACGAACTCTCAATGCAAACAAGGCTTACGTCGTCATTTTCTTTTTCTGTATTTTGCATTTTCTCCTTTACCTCTTTTTGTTATTTTGTTGTTTCATATTTAAAAGGGGTTTTTTTTTTCTTTTGGGTACTTTTGTTACATTTTCTTAGGGATTTTCTTATTTTTGTTTATTGTTAAAACATTGTAATCGTAGCATTGAGGTTAATGTAATATAAATTTGCTCCCTCTAACTAATATGGTATCAAAGCTCAAGTTAGGGGAGGTCTTGGGAACAAGTCTCTCCATTTGCATTTGCTTCTCAACTGCATTATGGTTCTCTCTATGCCTCCTTGCAACTCCACATGCAACACGATGTTGAAATTGAGGGAGTGTTGGACAGTTTGATAAACATTGTTAGGCCCTGTTTCCTAACAACTTTAGCTTTTGGAACTAGTGGTGGCCTAACAATATTTTAAAACAAGAAAAGTCAGCAGCAAAGAGCAAAATGGAAAGTTTGATATACATTGTTCAACGTATTTCCTAATAAATAGGATCAACACATGGTAGTGTTGTTAAAGAAAAGTTAACAGCAAAGGGCAAAAGGAAAACTAATATACAAGGTTGCATGTGAGAGATAGTGTTGGATAGTTTGATATACATTGTTAAACCTATTTCCTAATAGATAAGAGTTAACACATAGCAAAGGGAAAAAAGACAAATGATATTGTACTTACCTGGTAAGATTTCCCATGTAGAATCCTCAAATGCACTATCATAAAATTTCAAAGGAACACTGGTAGGATTTTGAGCCAAGAAGAATTTCCAATATCCGGACAAAGACTTAATAAAAGGTAATCCCTTGACCCAAAAAGTAGCACTATCAAGAGCTCCAGAAACAGCATCATCATCCCAAACTGCTGACTTTGAAACCAGAAAATCCACTCTATTCCGTTCATACCAGTATCTCAGAGATCCTATCCATATAAGAATAGATAATTCAGTGAATGAATTGTAAGGTTATATAAGGTTCAGCATGTAAGTATTTAGATACTGGCATCTTCATGTATTAGAAAGATCCAAGTATAGCTGTCCTAAGACCAATGTTATTGGACCACGTTCGGTAGTTTTACAAGATATTAACACAGCGTCAAACCCTGCATTAAATCACATTCACCTTCCTCATCATGCACTCCAATTTGTTCTTCATGTGTCACTTTCACCCTAATACCCCTCATCTATACACAGTAGATGAATTAAAAATTAGCAGGGGCACAAAATTCAAATGCAACCAACATGCACAAGTTGAGATTCAGCTGTGTAGTGTGTATAGAAGTGAAATGAGATTCTAAGATGCTGCTGCCAAAACTTAAGGTCTGCTTAAGCTGCACATAGTAACCATGTAAATGTAAATGTGCATAGTAGCCATGTAAATGTGCACAAACAACAACAATAATTTCAACAACTATAAAGAACAAACTATATCTAATTATTGCAAATTAAAGTAATTTAATTTAGCCCCAAGAAACCTCTTAAAAATTACTATGAAATGCATAAAAGCTGCTAAGCTAGGGGCATTTCTCAAGGCTAGCTCAGGACACTTCTAAACAGACAGGAAAAGAAAATGGGCTTTCTTATATCTAATTGATCACACTTGTAATGTGTCTGAGTACATTTCCAGAAGAAGAAGAAGAAACAGTTTAAATACTCTGCATATAATGGGATTCCTTAAAGTAATCTACAAAATGGCAACCATCTGTCATTAGGACATGTACTCCAAATATAACAATAAGAGCTTAACAATAATGAAGCACTAAAAAACTGATGGTAGACCTAAATATGTCATCACTTCTCGTTATTTGGAGTCAGTAGAGATGTCACTTTTAAGTTCTGACCTTCAATAGGAGTAAGAAGAGCCTATCTTCTCAAGGTTGGGGTGTTCAAGTGTGTCTGCATGCACACATGTACATTTATGAGTGTGCCTCCTACTGCTCATGGTTTTGGACACATGGTACCCATTCTTGTAACTTTTGTTAGATTTTAGTCATCAGGGCTTTTCTATATATGGATTAGATTTTTTATTAATATTGTAACAGAGAAGGTGATGGAACGCCGATTGCAAGATATAACAGAGGTGTCAGAAAATCAATTTGGGTTTATGCCTGGCAGGTCAACAATGGAAGCGATTTATCTTTTGAGAAGAGTAATAGAAAAGTTTAGAAAAAAGAAAAGAGATATTCATATGGTGTTTATCGACCTTGAGAAAGCATATAATAAAGTGTCCCGGGATATAATATAATGGGTGTTAGAGAAGAAAGGGATGACAAAAGGTTACATTGATGTGATTAGGAACATGTAAGAAGGGGTGATGACCACTATTAGATCGCCTGCTACAGAGACAAATGAATTTCCTATGACTGTAGGGTTACACCAAGGATCGACCTTAAGACCTTATCTTTTTGCTTTAGTTATGGATGAGTTGACGAGAAATATTTAGGATGACTTGCCATGGTGTATGCTTTTTGCAGACGATGTTGTGCTAGTGGATGAGACTAGAGAAGGAGTTAACACAAAGTTGGAGATTTGGAGAAAAACTCTTGAATCTAAAGGATTTCGGATAAGCAGAACTAAGATAGAGTACATGGAGTGTAAATTTAGTAACAGTGACAATGCAAGCAAAGGAGAAGTGAAGATTGAGAACCATGGTCGATTATCACAACAGCGGGGGAGATTGATGCGGATGTGGCCCATAGGATTAAGGCGAGATAGTGTAAGTGGAGAAGTGCGTCTACTGTGCGATAAACGAATACCCACTAGACTAAAAAGTAAGTTCTATAGAACGGCTATTAGACCAGTGATGTTGTATGGGACGGTGTGTTGGGCAACCAAGAAACAACGTGTAGATAAGATGAGTGTAGCTGAAATGAGGATGCTCAGGTGGATATGTGGCAAGACTAGACAAGGCAGAATTAGGAATGAGTGTAGTCGGGAATGGGTAAAGTAGCATCGATAGAAGATAAGTTGAAAGAGAATCGATTGAGATGGTTTGGTCACATTCAACGGAGACCAATAAAGGCAGTAGTGAAGAGATGTGATGTTGAAACGGTAGATGGGAGTGTTAGGGAACGGGGTAGGCTTAGATTAACGTTGACTAGCGTTGTAAATAAAGATATAGATCAACTTAATTTGACAAACGAAATGGCATTTGATAGGGCCACGTGGAAAAGAAGGATTCATATAGCCGACCCCATTTGATGGGACTTAAGGCTTGGTTTGGTTTGGTTTGGTTTGGTTTATTTTGTAACAGAGAAGGTGAAATGCCCAAATTAGAGGTTAAAAATGGTATAGTTAGGAAGACTTAGGCACGTGAATTTCTTTGTTAACTACCCAAGGGTTAGGGAGTCTTCTTTTGAACTTCGAGAACAAGTAGGCACAGCACCTGAGACATTATTGCATGACATGAGCATCCATTTGTCCTTGCTTATTTGCCTTGCATTGCACTAGTAGTTGTGATGTGATTTTCTAGGATGAAAACATAGAAAATGCATGCTATGGATATAGAGAACTTTAGAAGTATTAACTTCTTAAATAAGTACTAGGAATTAGGGGAATGGTTTTAACTTGAAGTTGAGATGCTATGAGATGTTCTAATCCCTAATCAAGGTGCTTAATGATTTAGTTTTAACTTTTAATGTATGGAGTGTTCCTAAGTATTGTACCAAAACTTAATTAGTAGTAATTAAGTAGGATTAATTACATTTAAGCGAGATTAATTAGAGTTAACCTTGATTAACTAAGCTAATGAAGGAGGATTAGGAAGTAGGTGAAGCATACACCTCTCTTGGATGGAGATCAACCGAAGAGAGACAAGTGTTTCTCTATATTATAAAATGAAAAAAATGAGTTCGAAGAGAGAAATTTCTGTGGAGAAAATGAACAAGAAGAGAAGAGAAACGAAGGAAGAATCAAGTTCTTGACCTAGAAACCAATCCTAGATAGCTAAAAGGTTAAATTTCTTTGAATATTTCATGATAATACTTTCATAACTAACAAAACCTAAGCTAGAATTGATCTTTAATAGAGATTGAATGAAGAAATGAAGAAAAGATGAAAACAGGCTAGGCTAAGGAAGGAATTGGTGGGAATCCTTGTTTTTGGAAGACAAAGGGCTCGTTTGGTTTGATTTTCTGAAAAAAATTTGGGAAATTTTCTCTACAAATAAGTTTTCAAAAATAACCAAACCAAACAAATTTTCCCAAAAAAATTTCCCAAAACTTGTAAACCAAACAAGTTTTCCAAACAAATCTCTCTCTCACACACATCAAATCAATCACTTTTTTCAAAACTCTATCTCAAAATAATTTTCCAAAACATCTTTTAAAAAAAACCAAACCAAACATGTTTTCGTATTTTTTATCTCTAAAACACATCTCTCAAACACAAACCAAACATACCCAAAACGTTTCGTATATATATGATAATTCATAAGTTTCATGTGATTTTCAAGTACTTTGGCGTGACAAATTTCATCTTTTCATGTGTTGAAATGGTGAGAATTGGTGTTGCAACAAGTTGGAATTTGTAGCAACAAGAAGCAAAATCGCCTGCGAAAATCCGCACGTGCAATACCTTACCACAACACGTGCGGCACAAGGCCTGCACATGTGGTCCAATGCACAGAAGGGGCTGCTTAAATCCGCATGTGCGGCCCAAAGTGGGGTGGTCCATTTCACTCCCTTTTTGCCCCTTGACACACCGAGCCTCAATTCAAGCACTTGTAACTTGAATTAAACTCAGAAAAGGTTTGGAATATCACTTTAAGACCTAGAACTAAGGGAATAGAGGTCAGGTTAGAAAGGAACACTTGAATTAGCCTCAAATAACTTAGCATTGTCTTGTCTTGCATAGTGTGGACATGTTCCATGCACCCACCCTCAATAACCTCTCGTTTTGGGGAGGTGTGTCCAAAGTACTCCCGTCTCTTTCACAAAGTGCAATGTAAATCAATGAATGACTAGATTTGGCAATGCCGGGAAATTCCACTTATCCACAGAATGTCATATAAAGTTCAATCCACTTAGACTTGGAGTCCTCACTTAATTTTTTGGAGAAACTAGGAAACCCCAACTCCGAATAAATGTAGGAAATAAACCTCATTAGAAGGAATTAATAGAGGTCAATCAATGGATTAGGTGAAATGGGTGCTCACATTAATAACCTCCTTTCATGCCTAAACTCCCGAACCAAGATTTCTAGTTGTGACAGATCAGTGGCCTAAATAAACATAGTTAGGGCTTCCTAATTCCGTGGTGACTCCAAGTTCAGCGAATCAGCCATTATTTGGCAATTTGTAGGCAAAATCAAATTGTGAAAATACTATGGTATATTGCTAAATTTATACCTCAATGATTCACATACATTAAAGGGTCAAATCCAATGTGTGGTTGCGCCGAAAAGCATGGTATCCACAAGGCGTTGGATAGTTGTGTATATTATAGGGTGAAGCAAAGGCTAGTGCAATTTCTTATTGCCCTTCGAGATCAGTTTGAGCTTCTTCTTGGTGCTATTTTTCATTGTTCGCCTTTGCCTTCAGTTGATGGAACAATTCGAGAATTGATAGTCAAGGAAACTAATTTCAAAGTTGTTGATAGTATCTCCTTCTCAAACAGTATTTGCTACTACTCCTGCTCAACCTCCATTATTACCTACTAACCTTCACTTATTCAAGTCACAGGAAACTCAAGCCCCATGTTGCTCAAGACGAGTGCAATTTTTCTCATTAGAAGGGCCACTGGAAGCATGTGTGCTCTAGATTTGCACACCAAAATGCACATCAGACAAGGCTAGCTCTTTCTAGTTTTTGTCATGAATCACGATCACCTTTTCAGTCTACTTGTGCTGCCAACCGTTCTCATCCTCCAGCAACTTTTGCCACACCCACATGCGACAACATTTCACCTTCCACAGCACAGTCTATGCTTGAGCAATTAACTTACATTCAGTCCATGCTTTTGCATCGTCTTATGTGTCCCATGCTACCTTGATTATTACACCTTCATTTTTACATGGTCTCATACCACAAGTACCTCTAATACCAGTTAAATATGTGATTATGTATCTTCCCATCATATGACACCAGATATTTCTATTCTAAGTCATTGTTATTCTCCCGCTTCTCCTATAACTATTTGTAGCAAATGGTTCTCCTATGGATGTTATGTCTATTGGTTCTGTGAATGCATCTACTTCTTCCTCTTTGTCTATTCCTCAATTTTATTTTTTTATTTTTTTTGGCATACCTCAGTTGTCTTTCTTTTTGTTATCTATTGGCCAACTTTCTGATTCCAACTTTGATGTTGTCTTCTCTTCTCGTAGTTGTATTGTTCAGGATCGAACATCCAAGAAGAAAATTGGGATCGTATGTATGATTGGTGACCTATATCTCCTAGAGGGCTTGCATATTCCCGTAAAGTCTTATTCTTTTTTCTTTTTTTTTTTCCTTTTTTCTTTCTTTTTTTTTTTTTCAAAATTGTAGGAGTATTGATAAAGCAAATGAGAAAACAAGCTAATGCAAGCAGCTGTCCTTCATTAGAGAAGGAAAAAGCCACAGAGGAGGAGAGGCTTCCCACTAATCTCTTAGTCATCACTAATTTGTCATACAAATTATCACCACCGTTGTCTTAATTAGATCAAGATAGGCTCACAGTTTCTGAATAGGTGATTGGAGGATCTTTACGGCAGGGGGGAATGAAAGATCACTAATCTCTTAGTCATCAAGACAGCAAAAAAGTTAGCAAACAGAACTTCAAAGACAAAAACACAAAAAGAGGAACAAAATTAGAAACCAGAACTCCTAACATTTCTTCAGTGAAAAATGAGCCTGAAACAAGGATATATGGGTAATATCCCCACACCAACAATTTTTCCAGAAAATGACTCTTTCTCCATCTCAACAACATATATCATACGCTACAAATAACAAAAATAACAATTGTGTGATTGAAATCTCATTATTATTGTTTAAACATCCTAGTCAACTTTGACAATAATCAAAAATTATGACAAAACACTAGGAATCTTCCTCGGTCCATTTTACAAGAGAAATGCTTAGTGTCCCAACTATCTACACGTGTAGAATATTGTGTAGAATATTAGGGATCCCTAGCATTGTTGATTTCAAAATGTAAGTACCAACAATGATGCAGAAAATGGTGTGTCACCTTCAATTGTATCATGGCAGTGCAGCAAAACATGAGCATCTCTCTTCCTCCATTTGAAAAAGGATGGATCTTCCCACACCTTGTAACCATTATTTGAGGGAAGAACAAGTTGACTGAATAAAGAGGTCATCACTAAATTGAAAGCTACAACTGCATCACAATGAACCTATAGTTTAGCCCCCCAAATGAGATTCATTCAAAACAAACAAAACAAAAACAAAAATAAAAAATTCCAAATTTTATACAAATTTTATTGTGCATGTAACATAAGAATGCACGCATTGACACTTTGTAAAACCAGAAGTAATCAATAAAACAGAAGATGAAAGAGGGAGAAACTAATCAAAAGATAGTTCCAAGTTAAAACGAAAAGGTAAAGATTTTATGAAAACAGCATCCAAGAAAACTACTGTGACATTTACATATCAAGAAAACAGAATTCATCTTTATACCTTTCCTTAGGTGGTAACCCCATAGCTCTTAACTCCTCAACCATGTTTTGAAGAAAGTTTGTGTGCATGTTTGACCCATTGGAGAAAAGGTCAACTGCTCTTATAAACTAAAAAACAAAGATTCGATTCAACTAATTGAATTTCAATTATTTTATATTTTTTTTAATCTAAATTTTTTTAAATTGTAAAGTAATAGAACTAATTTTTTTATCCTTTTTAGTTCTTGTAATGAGTTTTCATGTCTTGATATCGTTTTGTTTAAACCTTTTTTTTTTTTTTTTTTTTTTTGTAGATAATGATATATGAAGGGCCCAACTTAAAAAATTCACCTTAGGCTGGCCCTGATGCCTTTGAATGGGCTCTCAGTTATGCATATTTTTTCCCTAGTAATTGGTGTATCAAATGGTTAACAACTTAATAGAAATATGACAAATTTTGTTGGGATTTGCATTTGCTCATCTTAATTTGTTTGGCAGTTTATTCATATTATGTTGTGAGGAATTGAGCTTTTTCCCTTATTTTCCTTTTTCCGATGGTTTTATCTTTTGAGAAAAAATGTTACATTGGACCCTTTTTTTAATTATTTATTTACTATATATATTTATGCAAATTTTCATAAATTATAGAGCTATAGCTATCATTTCTAAATGTATTTATTTACTCTAAATGGGATTGAAGTTTCTAATAATTTTTTACATTGTGTCTCTAATTACTTTATAATATGTTGAATTATATGTAAGTAATTAGAATTCTGTTTTCCTGGTGAATAATTCAAAATTCTTCTTGGCTTGGTGCCTTTAGGCACAGGTCATTCGCTAGTTACTAGATCAAATATATAAAAACATAACCAAAATATACAGAAAAATTCTGTATTGACACCATTATTCCATAGACAAATATTAGTTTGGCAACTCAATTTTTTATCCTAAAACTCAAAATGTCACTTAAAAAAAAAAAACGCATTCTATACCAAAAGGTCAAAATTATTATTATTATTATTATTATTATTATTATTATTATTATTATTATTATTATTATTATTATTATTATTATTATTATTATTATTATTATTATTATTATTATTATTATTATTATTATTATTATTATTATTATTATTATTATTATTATTATTATTATTATTATTATTATTATTATTATTATTATTATTATTATTATTATTATTATTATTATTATTATTATTATTATTATTATTATTATTATTATTATTATTATTATTATTATTATTATTATTATTATTATTATTATTATTATTATTATTATTATTATTATTATTATTATTATTATTATTATTATTATTATTATTATTATTATTATTATTATTATTATTATTATTATTATTATTATTATTATTATTATTATTATTATTATTATTATTATTATTATTATTATTATTATTATTATTATTATTATTATTATTATTATTATTATTATTATTATTATTATTATTATTATTATTATTATTATTATTATTATTATTATTATTATTATTATTATTATTATTATTATTATTATTATTATTATTATTATTATTATTATTATTATTATTATTATTATTATTATTATTATTATTATTATTATTATTATTATTATTATTATTATTATTATTATTATTATTATTATTATTATTATTATTATTATTATTATTATTATTATTATTATTATTATTATTATTATTATTATTATTATTATTATTATTATTATTATTATTATTATTATTATTATTATTATTATTATTATTATTATTATTATTATTATTATTATTATTATTATTATTATTATTATTATTATTATTATTATTATTATTATTATTATTATTATTATTATTATTATTATTATTATTATTATTATTATTATTATTATTATTATTATTATTATTATTATTATTATTATTATTATTATTATTATTATTATTATTATTATTATTATTATTATTATTATTATTATTATTATTATTATTATTATTATTATTATTATTATTATTATTATTATTATTATTATTATTATTATTATTATTATTATTATTATTATTATTATTATTATTATTATTATTATTATTATTATTATTATTATTATTATTATTATTATTATTATTATTATTATTATTATTATTATTATTATTATTATTATTATTATTATTATTATTATTATTATTATTATTATTATTATTATTATTATTATTATTATTATTATTATTATTATTATTATTATTATTATTATTATTATTATTATTATTATTATTATTATTATTATTATTATTATTATTATTATTATTATTATTATTATTATTATTATTATTATTATTATTATTATTATTATTATTATTATTATTATTATTATTATTATTATTATTATTATTATTATTATTATTATTATTATTATTATTATTATTATTATTATTATTATTATTATTATTATTATTATTATTATTATTATTATTATTATTATTATTATTATTATTATTATTATTATTATTATTATTATTATTATTATTATTATTATTATTATTATTATTATTATTATTATTATTATTATTATTATTATTATTATTATTATTATTATTATTATTATTATTATTATTATTATTATTATTATTATTATTATTATTATTATTATTATTATTATTATTATTATTATTATTATTATTATTATTATTATTATTATTATTATTATTATTATTATTATTATTATTATTATTATTATTATTATTATTATTATTATTATTATTATTATTATTATTATTATTATTATTATTATTATTATTATTATTATTATTATTATTATTATTATTATTATTATTATTATTATTATTATTATTATTATTATTATTATTATTATTATTATTATTATTATTATTATTATTATTATTATTATTATTATTATTATTATTATTATTATTATTATTATTATTATTATTATTATTATTATTATTATTATTATTATTATTATTATTATTATTATTATTATTATTATTATTATTATTATTATTATTATTATTATTATTATTATTATTATTATTATTATTATTATTATTATTATTATTATTATTATTATTATTATTATTATTATTATTATTATTATTATTATTATTATTATTATTATTATTATTATTATTATTATTATTATTATTATTATTATTATTATTATTATTATTATTATTATTATTATTATTATTATTATTATTATTATTATTATTATTATTATTATTATTATTATTATTATTATTATTATTATTATTATTATTATTATTATTATTATTATTATTATTATTATTATTATTATTATTATTATTATTATTATTATTATTATTATTATTATTATTATTATTATTATTATTATTATTATTATTATTATTATTATTATTATTATTATTATTATTATTATTATTATTATTATTATTATTATTATTATTATTATTATTATTATTATTATTATTATTATTATTATTATTATTATTATTATTATTATTATTATTATTATTATTATTATTATTATTATTATTATTATTATTATTATTATTATTATTATTATTATTATTATTATTATTATTATTATTATTATTATTATTATTATTATTATTATTATTATTATTATTATTATTATTATTATTATTATTATTATTATTATTATTATTATTATTATTATTATTATTATTATTATTATTATTATTATTATTATTATTATTATTATTATTATTATTATTATTATTATTATTATTATTATTATTATTATTATTATTATTATTATTATTATTATTATTATTATTATTATTATTATTATTATTATTATTATTATTATTATTATTATTATTATTATTATTATTATTATTATTATTATTATTATTATTATTATTATTATTATTATTATTATTATTATTATTATTATTATTATTATTATTATTATTATTATTATTATTATTATTATTATTATTATTATTATTATTATTATTATTATTATTATTATTATTATTATTATTATTATTATTATTATTATTATTATTATTATTATTATTATTATTATTATTATTATTATTATTATTATTATTATTATTATTATTATTATTATTATTATTATTATTATTATTATTATTATTATTATTATTATTATTATTATTATTATTATTATTATTATTATTATTATTATTATTATTATTATTATTATTATTATTATTATTATTATTATTATTATTATTATTATTATTATTATTATTATTATTATTATTATTATTATTATTATTATTATTATTATTATTATTATTATTATTATTATTATTATTATTATTATTATTATTATTATTATTATTATTATTATTATTATTATTATTATTATTATTATTATTATTATTATTATTATTATTATTATTATTATTATTATTATTATTATTATTATTATTATTATTATTATTATTATTATTATTATTATTATTATTATTATTATTATTATTATTATTATTATTATTATTATTATTATTATTATTATTATTATTATTATTATTATTATTATTATTATTATTATTATTATTATTATTATTATTATTATTATTATTATTATTATTATTATTATTATTATTATTATTATTATTATTATTATTATTATTATTATTATTATTATTATTATTATTATTATTATTATTATTATTATTATTATTATTATTATTATTATTATTATTATTATTATTATTATTATTATTATTATTATTATTATTATTATTAT